TATCTATCTATCTATCTATCTATCTATCTATCTATCTATCTATCTATCTAATCTACCTATCCATCCTTCCTACATTGTTTTCTAAGGTTGTCTCAGATCACTTGCCAATGGCCCAACGATTCACTGTGGTTTTTATTCTGAGCATATGTCCAAAGCCTTGTGACTTAGTAACCAGATGAAAGACCCTACATAACTTCCTTGGGAGTGTGTATATGGCTCAGAGATATTTGTTTTGTTTCAGAATGAACAGAGCCCGCCTGGTGTTGGGAGGTCGGAATGCCCCCTATTTGTATTGTCACGGACCAACCTTCAGGAAAATATTTCCATTCTCCAGATGCCAGCTGCCCCAATAATAAAATGAGGAGTGAGGTTGCCCTGATCTCTCCCTGTCGCTAGCATCCTAAGATCGGCAGCTAGGACATCAAGTTTGCTTCACATCATCTAAGAGGGACAGGTGCCAAGCTTGAAGCAGAGTGACATAAAAAGCCAGGAAAAAATGAACTATGAGGGTCTTTGCCTCAGCAGAACCCCAACTCATATTTTCTTAAAGAGGAGGAGAAGTTCTTCCCTTCATAGTTTCTGTAGGATTTCTCAGAAACCCCAGAGGGCCTGGAAATCTTTGGACCTGTGATAAGAATTCCCTTTAGGACTGCCATAGAGGAGCAGGGAGCTGAGCTGTAGGCAAGGGTGAGGGGTCATCTGCAATCCTCATCTGTCCAGAGGAAAATGAAGTCTCTCCCACCACTTGGCTTCTGGGAGCTCACTGAGTTGCTTGCTCAAGAAAGCTCAAACTTGGAAGAGCAGCGATTTTGTTGAGAAGCTTAGGAACCCTGGGCACATTCCTAGCTAGTGTCTAAGCTTGACGCTGGTGAGAATGTGGACTCTGAACTCTGACAGTGTAGCCTGTCTACCCTACCCCATTTTAGGCCACCAGGCATTCCCTGAATGGTCTCCAGGCCCTGCTCTCTGGCTGGTTGAACACTGAGGCTATATAAGAGGCAGCTTCAGCCCCCTTTTTCCTGAGTTCCTTCCTTGGGCCCTACTTTGTAGTGTGGGTCCTCATTGTTCAAATAGTACAGTTTTCTTTGAAATCGGATTTCTTTTCTGTCTTTTTTTTTATTATTATTGTACCTTGATGCTAGGAGAAAAATATCAGAACAGATACTGCAGAGCAAATGAACATTTCCACAAACATCTTGCAAAAGGACATCAAACCGGAGAATGCAACCATCGTGGTTTGGAGAGCTGGTGTCTTTCTCAGAGCTCAGTATCCATTCTCCAACACCAGCGGTACACCTGAACAAACCCCCTCCCAACAGGCACAAGTCTGCCAGGCCCCGTCTTCTTGGCCAAACAAAGCAGGCCATTGTGATTAATGACATCTGGACATAGTTTTAAAGCACGTGTAACAAAGTGACTTTGTTTTTTTTATATATATATATATATATATAGGTTTGTTTGTTTGCATTTCAACAATGACAGAAATAAAAAAAAAAGGCAAATAACGTTTGAAATGTAATGTAAAATCACGGTCCTTTGGGACCTGGCTAGAGTGACCATGTGGTTCCAGGAACAGTGCCAAATGCCGTTCTTGAGTAGTTTGGGGGATGAGGGTACCAGTTTCAGACACACAGCGTTAGAAACTGCAGCATGGTGGTAGCACGCAAGCTGGTTGCCCTTTGACCCCGGAAGTGCTTTTAGATTGACTTGTCTAAAAGCGCATTCCTGTTTGCTTGGTTTCTTTCTTTCTTTCAGGTCTTAGATAATCGTCTTAACGTTGAGTTTAAAAAATAAAAATAAAATTTTATTTTTAGCCTGTTCTTTTCAAAGCTCTACTGCCTGCGGAAGAGGCAGTGTGGAGGGATTCCCTCTAGGGCAAAGCAGCCATACAGTTGGATTCAAGCCAAGCTCCCAGTCTGGAAAGTGAAAGGCTATTGTTAGCATTCAGCTCATCCATCCATTTTGTAGGGAGGATGTAGACTCGACGGTCGGGGTAAAAATGGCGGTGCAGAGAAGGAGGGAGAGAAAGCAAGCTTTTTCTCTCCCCAGTGGGCCTGCTAGCCGACATGCTGGGGTTGCACACAGTAGGAGGACTTTGAGCGTGTCTCAATTATGCAGCACTTTCCGCATGCCACCTGCATAATCCCATCTCCTCGAGATGCTCCAAACTACTTGAGGACATTTGGGTTCTGAAACATGGCCACTCTAGCCTCATCAGAAAAGAAAACACAGATGTAACTTGGCAATGATTTAAAAAAAAAATGTCACCATGATAGCTGTTGAGCTTGAATGACAGAAATGAAGGACGGAGATCTACAGATCTACTTAGCTCTTGACTTCAGGTTTTAAAAATTCAGAGTTAACAAAGGAAAATCCTTCGAATTCTGATTGGTCAATATTCCTGATGACTTCCTGGTCAGGAGGTGTTAGGACTGGTGGATGGCGGGTGAAAAACCGGTCGAAGTTTTCAGCATTTCGCCCACACTATGAGAGGGGGAGAAAAGAACTTGTGGTGGGTGGGAACAAAACAAAACCAAACGCCAAAATAAAGCAGAACTGAACAGAACCGGGTGTGGTTTTCCTCCAATCCCGTCCCTTTGGGAAACTCAGAGAGGCTGTTTTAATGATCAGAAATGAGAGCAATGTCAAATGCAAAATCCTCATGACCTTTGGAACATGACCTTGGGCTCCTGTCCTCTGAGTGCTGTAGTACTCAGGTCAGTCCTGGTTTCCTCTTGGGAAGTCAGGAGATGCATGGCAAAGGCATGAGATGGTGGGACTAGTAGCATGTGGCATGTCCCCACCCGTGTCACTCGTCCCCAGTGATTAATACTGACAGATTTCAATAATGACCCGTTCATACATCACCTGGCGAGCACATCATTTATAGCAGCAGATCTCTTTAAGTGCTCTTGGTCAGGAACAGTGGGTGTTAATAGTTCAACCGAATATAGTTTTCAAACACCAGCCAGCGGAGGGAGATCCCAATCAAAAGATCTCTGTGGCACCACAAAGTCCCTCTGGATTAATCATTGACCCTTAATGACAAGGCCCCAGAAGGTGAAAGCAAACACTTTCTCCAAACAGGAAACCTGATGTGGGATGCACATGCGGAATTCCTGCCTAGGGAAAGGAGAGGAGGTGCCACATCAGAGCTCTTGCCCATGCTCCTTCCCAGCAAAACCGTGTGCAGGGAAACCCTCGGCATCCTGGTGTCTACACGAGGTGCTGTGGCTTGAATGCACAGTGTTTCCCACGTGATCAAGGGTTCAGAGACTTGGTCCTCGGCTGGTGGCACTGATTTGGAAGGTTGTGGAACCCTTAGGAGACGGAACCTTGCTGGAGGAAGTGAGTTAGTAGGTGCAAGCCTTGAGGTTCTATACTTGGGCAGTATTTCCTGAATGCTCACCGCTTCCTGGCTGCTGATGCAAAGTGACCCAGACACCTTACACTCTTGCCACTTACCAAGTATTTGGTGACAATGATGAGAAAAGTAAGTAAGACAGGAGGCAACATCGACCTAATCCTATGACAATATTAGTCACAATAACGGCAGGTAATCTATGTTGTGTGTTTGCCATGGCTAGTCACCTGGCAAAGAGCTTTATCCAAATTATCTCATTTAACCCTCTCAACAGCATTATGACATGTATCATCGCTATGGCTTCAATGGACATGGAGTTACGTGTTCAAACAATTGATACTAACCAACTTGAAAGGTTATAGAATCTTTGGAACTGTGGCTTAGTTAATGGAAGTGGCTTACTGAGGGCAGGCCTTGAAAACGATATCCTTCCTTCGGATTAGGTTTCCACGCTCTGCTTCCTGCCCACCATGTGACCAGATGCCTCACATTGCTGCCGCCCTGCCTTCTGGTGGACCAATATCCTCCGAAACTGTGGCTCAGAACAGACTTTCCTCCATTAAGTTGCTTCTGTGAGGTACTTAATCACAATTCAAAGAAAGGAGGAGGGGACTAACGCAAACATTATCCTCCATTTTATAGATGAGGAAACTGAGGCCGGGAAGATCAAGTCATCTGCTCAAGGTCAAGCAGCAACCACCAGTGCTGTAGGTGGAGCCGGACCCACCTAACGTCAGAGTCAGGATCTTGGGCTCCAAGTTGATGTATACAGCCGAGAGGAAGTGACAGACTGAATAGTGGGATGGGGCAGAAGGGGGAGCGGAAACCATGGCTTAGGTGTTGCAGTTACTGTTTTGATTGATAGACAGCATGGTTACCTCAACAGCAGAGACAGAACATGAGAAAATTCAGAAAGGCAATAATTAGTGATTTCCATTTTGGGATATGATGGTTGTAAGATTCAGGGCAAGTCTAGCTGAGAACTAAGGGGGGGGGGGCGCAGGTGTTATGGGGCTCAGGAAAGACCTTGAAAGAACCTTTCAAATGGCACACCAAGTAGGGGTGTGTGTGTGTGTGGATAGTAACAGGGATGGCCACCAGGCACGCTCCATGAAGCTGCCCTGCTCTATTGGCTTTGCTCAAGGGATCTTTTAAATTCATATGCTAACTCTTCAAGGCTCAGATTTTACTCCCATCTGCCAATGATGCAACTTCCCTCAACATTGTCCCAGACCAAGAGGGAGCAACTCAGACACGCTAAGGACTGAGAGAAACCACGGGCAGAAGCGCTGTCCCAAGGGAAACACCTCTAAAAAGTTGGGCAGGAAACTTGGAAATTTTCTTAATGGAAAGAGGTTTCTTTTTTTTTTTTTTTTAAATTTGAGCGTATACAGAAGGGACACTGGGGGTTGCCTGAGCTCTTGTCGCGTGAGGGTGAAAGAGCACTGATAGAAGACCTGCAAGTGTCTCTGTAGAGCCTTAGCAGAGGCACATGGACCGGCACCGTCCGTCGGAGGACAACAGCAGCAACCTGAACAAAGTGAGCTCAGGGATGGGAATCTCGGCCTCTTGTTGATCACTGGCTGGACAACTCTGGGGGACATTTTTGAATGTCTTGGGCTCCTCTTTTGTAAAACAGAGGCAACCGTGGGTCTGATCGTTCGAGGTTCTGATGACAACAACAGGAAGTGATCTGCGTGACAAGGGGCTGGGCTGGTTTCTTGTTTCCTCTGTGAAGCAGCTGCTGCGCACAGTGCTGAACAGGGCTTAGTTCAGAGCCACTTAAGTTTTAAAAACTGAAGACCACAGAGTTCAAGTTTTAAAATTCTCGCTAAGCTTAAAGAAATATACTTGCTGCTGGAAAGATGACTCAGTCAGTAAAGTGCTTGCCACTCAAGCATGAGCACCTGAATTCTGCCCCAGCACACATACAAAAAAAAAAAAAGTCAGGCACAGTGGTGTGTGCCTGCCATCTCAGCTCCAGGGGGATGAAGGCAGAAAGATTCCCTGGGCTTGCTGGCCAGCCTTGTTCAGTGAGAGACCCAGGCTCAAAGAACAGAATCGGAAGCAATTGAGGAAGATACCCACTACATCAACCTTTGACCTCCACACACACACACAAACATTTTACATACCACATACAAGTGTACCCATCAACTTTAATGGAAGAATAATATCTACATTGTGAAAAATGTATCTCATATTTACTCTGCTACGGGAAATTTAAAGACACAAATGATAAAAATAAAAGAACACGAAAAGGCAAATTTCAGATTATGCAAAGATATGAGATAAGGGAGTTCTAGAAAAAAGCTTTAAAAATGTATTTATAATTTGAGAGTGAAAAAGACATTTCCAAAGGGTTAAAACCAAGAAGCAAGAAAGAAAATTGTGCCTAATGATGTTAAAAACTAAAAATGTATGTGTAATTAAAAAAAGAAAAAGAAAGAAACAAAAAAACAAAATAACAAATAAGCCTATAGCCTAATAACAAACTAGATAAAATGTATTTGCAACATCAACTACAGAAGGGACCATTAACTTATAAATATGAATTATAAGTTAAGTGATTATGTGTGATTATGTGCTAATAAGAAAAATACAACCCAAAGGAAAATTATAAAAGGGAAGAATTAATTATCTTTTTTATGGGTGTAGGGAATTGAACTTGGGGTTTCACATACACTAGATGAGTATATTCCCACTGAGCTATATTTCTAGCCAGAGAAATCTGTTTTTAAAACATTTATATTTATTTTAAATTATGTGTATGTGTGGTAGATGTGGGCACTTAAGTACAGGGGCCTACAAAGGCCAGAAGAGAGAGCATAGCGCAAATTCTATTCGGTCTGAATAATAAAAACGCAGAGTCAGATATTAGGAAGTGAAAACTGAAAAATCAGAGAAGCAGAGCAGCCAGCCACTGGAGTTCTTACCTCTATGCAATTCTCAGAAGGGAAGGGTATCCTGTCTCTACAAGTCCTCAGACTGAACTGCCTTGAGCTCCTGCCTCCTCCTGCTGTACATTCCTCTCTCCGCCCAGCCACATTCCTTCCTGTCTCTGTGAGTTCAAGGCCACTCTGGGCTACACTAAGTTGATCCAATCTCGAACAGAAAGAGTCACGCAGGGGTGGCTCATGGCACCCAGTACTTGGGAGTCACATGCCTTTAATCTCAGCACTAGGGAGGTGGAGACAGGTAGGGATATGGCTGAGCAGAGAGAGGAATGTAAGGCGGGAGGAGACAGAAGCTCAGCGCAGTCTGAGGTTTGGTGGAAACAGATGTAGTCAGGAGATGCAGTCTGAGGACGGGATCGTTCCTTCGCTCTGAGCATTGGTAGAGGTAAAAGAACTCTTTAGTGGCTGGCTGCTCAGGCATTCAGTCTTAGGATTCCTAGAGAGTCTGAGGATTCAGTGGAGGTAAAGTCTCTCTAGTGGCTGGCTTCGTTACTTCTCTGATCTTTCAGCATTTAGCCAGATATCTAATTCCAGATTTTCAATATTAAGACCAACTAGAATTTGCGCTACAAGGGAATCAGATTTCCTGGGGCTGGAGTCACAGGCTTCCTAATAGGTACACTGGGAGCTGAGAATGGGTCTTCCACAAGAACAATATTGTACACTTAACTGCTAAATCATCTTTCTAGCCATCCTGAGAAAACGATTTTTATAGAGTCGAAGTACACAAAATGTGCTCATATTTGATTCACAATTAAGGAAACGGCCTTTGAGCATGTGCTGGGCGAAGCGAGTGAGGGAGGTGTCATTTGGATGTCTCAGAAAAAGAACACTGCACGCAGAGGCTTGCATGTGCAAACGCCCTGAGGCAGGAATGTTCTTGCTGCCATCCCCAGCGAAGCCAGAGTGGGAGTAGAGTGACCAAGGGGCAGGAGGGACAGGGGAGGTCCCAGAGCACGATCCCCATGGCCATGCAAGGACAGGGAATTTTCAGCTCAGTTTGAGAAGCTCTAAGTGACGTGATCTGTTGGGTTTAACTGAGGTCACCAGGATTGTCTAGAATGCAGGCTGTGGGTGACAGGGGGTGACACTGGAGACGATGACTCCAGGTAGGAGACTGTGGCAACCTTCAGCTGAGAAAGGTTGAGGGCTTGGAGGAAGGG